CTCCTGAAAGCCTGTTTCCCAGTTGGCAGATCCGACCCGAACTTTCGAAACCAGTCCAGGCTTTTACCCAGCCTTCCTCAGAATCCGAATGGCTGAAGTGCATGGATGACTCTTCTGCCGTTTCTCTACCCAACACAGCTTCAGGCCCAACACCCATTCCTATTGCCTCCTCATCAGGGCCTCCTTCGACCCTGACTCCTATGAATTTCCTTTCCTCCCCAATCATGCCGGTTTTCGCCTCGGCCGGTTGCCTAATCGGCCAGACAGGGAACCTGCTCGCTGTGTGGGTCCAAACACTATCTGTAGAAGCACCTTTGCAAGCCAGTTTACCTGAGTTCGATGCTGACCACGATCTTCTTATTTTTGTCAAATTCTATCAGCCTCCCTCTTTTTTACAAAATCGTTCGTTTGCTGAGCTCGAAGTGGATGATGAACACAGTGAATTAATCGGTAGCCACAGTCTTTGTTCATCTTCTTCGCCTCCTCCACCAGGCATCTTGATGACAACTGCATCTATTGGCAGCCTCTCCTACCTTGGTTGGTTCACTATCCGTCTGCACACACCTTTGGCAGCTATTATACCTGACCTTCGAAGGCGGGCCCAACTGCCTGAAACTGCCCAACTTCGTCTCTTCGAAGAGGTTCGGCCAGGAGATGTTCGTTTGATCCCTGAACCGCGTCTACCCGTAGAGAAATGCGTCTCTTATCTTTCTGATGGAAATATTCTCGTATACGAAGTAGTTCCTATTATTCGGTTCGAAGCTTCTCCCTTTTCTTCACTTATTACTAATGTGGCAAATGGTAGCGGTGATGACAGTGGACGTTCGGTTCTCACCTACTTCCCCAAATCTCGCGATTCAAATTCAAACACAGCTGATAACTCTTTATTAATTGGGAACGATTTCGTTAGAGATGAACTCGGTGCCGATGAGGAGGAAGATAATGGAGATGAGGAAGAAGAGCTGGAAGATGATGAAGATGACGCTGATGAGGAAGAGGATGATAGCGACGATGATAATGACTTGGAAGAAGACGAAGAAGAAGAAGAGGAAGAGACAGACTTTATTCATGGAGATTCTCTTTTTGCCGAAAGCCATATATCCGGCCGAGACTTGGATTCATCACTTCTCCGACTGGAGGTCATGACGAGTCCAGATGAGCCTGAGGAGATTGACAGCCGGGAGACCAGTAGGGAAGATAGTTCTCACATCTTCCCTGTGGGAAAAACCGTCGATAAGCCCGGAGCCTTGCTGCATTCTTGCTTTCGTGCTTCCACGTGTCTCTTGGCTGGCAAGCATATCAATAGCAGTGGCAGCAGCACTAGCAGTAGTGGGGGCAGTAGCAGTTGCAGCAATAGTCGGCATATCACCAAATCTGATTCAACAAGCACTAATAGTGAGGGCAGTAGCAGTACTCCTAGTCGCAGAGAAAGATCCATTGGCTCCGTCGGTGTGGCTGGAAATGATGGCCTTATAGCTGGCAGAGTGATCACTCACTTAGAGAACAATAAAAATTCTTCTGTAAAGTCAGATCAGCCAGTGGAGAACATTTCTAGAGCTGAACTAATACCAGATTCATTGGAAGGCCGGATCTCCTTACTAGTGGCGGGGGGCGGGATAGAAGGAAGAAAACTAACTGAAAATGGGACCCTTATCGGTTGCGTCAAAGCTTGTCCACATTCTGTTGTTTCCGACGCTTCTGTGGACGGCGAAGATGCCGATGAGGATGATGACCATAATATTTGCGAAAAGAGCGTGCTGCCGGTTGACGAGGATGAAGAAGATGAAGATAATGCCACAAATGCTGATGCTGGCGATGAACTCGGCAGCAATTGTGGTGGCGTAGCTGGGCCCGGCAGCCAGCATCTCTCATCACCAGATACCTCTGCCTCTAGTGAAGAGGATTTGACAGTCTCTTCTCAAGCAAGACTTTTGGTTGAAGACCCACTGGCTTCACAGCCAGGTTCTCCGATCATCCGTTCCACAGCTGCAATTACCATCAATCGAAATCCTAGTAATCGTCATTATCAGCAACAGCAACCTATCTTGCTTGCCTCTAACAGATTAAGGATATTCAAACGTAGATTAGACTCATTTAGACGACTTCGACCTCGGCTTCGGCGGCAGCCAATGAGAAGAAAAGATGAAATCTGTTTGGCAGTAGTCTCAGAAGGTGCAGGCAGGTTGGCTCAAATTCTATCTCTTCATCCTCATCGAAATTGTGGTAAGAATACTCTCGGATCGGCTGGCTTCAAGCATAAGTGGGCTAGGGGTCGATGGCCCCTGGCTAGGCGATTAATCGCATTGTCTCGTCATCGCACTCGATTACGGCCAGTCCGATGCATTTCAAAGCAACCGAAGATTAAACAATCTCGACAGCAGCAGTATGCTCTGCGAGCCCGCCTTCGATCTTTTCCTTCATTTGGCCTATTCTGGCGCCGACGCCTTCAAGAAGCCAAAAGAATTGCAAACAAATCTAGATTGTCTGCTCACTATCGTCGGCCTAGCACAATACCCGGCCACCCACACCATCTAGATAATCAGCAAAATCAACGTCTGTGTTGTCGTCGATATCCTTCAATAACATCCCCTCAGCTGCAGCATCGAATGAGTCGTCGTCGTCAGGCCAGCTGGCCTGTATGTCGTCTAGCTAACCCGGTTATTGAAGCTACTAGCCTACTATCTGACCAAGCCCAAATAGTGGCTCCGCAACAGCAGTCTCTAATGCTGACGTTGCCTATTTCTTTGCCTACATCTTCTCCTCACCGTCCATCCTCTGCTTCGCCTTCATTCCGAGCTCCATCATTATCTTCACCAACATTATCTGCGCCGCTTTCTTCCTTCTTAACTTTTGGTCAACTCCGTCCCAACGCGTCTCCAGACCGTGTGCAAATCTGCGTAAGTCATCAGGGGAATGATTTCCTCACTCGAATCATCTGGTCCATCTAGATTGATGCCTTGGTTAGAGGTTGTGGCTTTAGAATAAAGATTGGTTTTCAGTCTGGGTACAGCATATCTCAACATATATTACTCATTTGAGTAATTGATTCTCTCACATTCTGTCTTTTTAGCCCCTTGATACGATCATTTTTCTTAAACAAGTAGCGCTTTATGTTTACTAAAGCATTATTTCTCACGTTTTGTATGATGTGTATGAAGTAAAAACTGCCCTAAAAATTGATTTTATCGTTGACTATCGTGGTTTGATGTTGGAGTACCTTTGGTTTCGTTTGGAGAGGCGAGTTGAAGGGATTCATAAATTGGCCCTACCACAAGCCGTAGATAGGAAAGTTGCAGTATTCACATTAATTTAAGATTGAGTGAAAACTTAAATATGCCTTAC